ATATGCTTCTAGGAATGCTGTGATAATATCTTTGTGAATCTGGCTATTGTGCCGGATTTGCAAAAATGACTATTTTTGTAAAGTGGGCGTTTATACAATTGTGACTATGTAGTTAATGGTCATGAACTCAAACTAAGTAAAGAGCTAAGATTGTATCAACTTTGGGCCTTATTGAATCAAAGATAAAAGTTGACTCATTTACCTTTAAACAACAAAATTACTCCTTTTCTTCTATATAATATTGGGCCAATTGAAATTCATTTCTTGGCCCATTTTAATAAAAAATTCTAGCAGCCCAAAAGCTCCATACAAGCTGGCCCATTTTTTTAACAAGAAGTTGGCTCATTTCTTTTAAAATAGATAAAGTTGGTCCAACATTTATTTGCATAATTTTTTCCAACTATACAACTCGAAATAATAATAATAATATCAGATTTTTCTACTATTTTAATTAACTAGTTTCCCTTTAATTAACTTAAACGTTAGGCAAATAGTAGGTGCGCTTTAACTTCACGGACTCACTTGTGTAGCGTGACGCTTAACTTTTAATAAGTTAATTCATCAATTTCATGTCATATTCAATAGTTTTAATTAATTTATAAATCTTTTGTCATAATCACAGATTCGCTTGCGTAGCGTGGTAGTGACATTTAATAAATTTTCTGAAAAAAAGAGGGTTAATGTTTCCTCCAACATAATTGCATCAATTTTTCAAAAGTAAATAACATGCTAACAATCGTCTGTCATGACTGCGGATTCGCTTGCGTAGCGTCGTTATGACTAAATAATAAATTTCGTCGATCACGCATTCGCTTGCGTAGTGTGGTTATGACATCTTATTATTCAAAAATATTCATTAATTTTTTCTAATAATCAAGAGATAAAAGAGGATAGGTAAATAAAACATGAAAATAATATAAATCACAGTTTGTCCAAAATTAATTCAAGCCAAGTTTAAGTCAATAAAGCGACCGTGCTAGAACCACGGGACTCGGGGAATGCCTTATACCTTCTCCACGGTCAACAGAATTCCTTGCCCGAACTTTGTTTTCGAGGACCGATTAAAATAGAGTCAAACCTTCCTTTGACTAGGGATCCAAATAAATGGTGACTTGGAACACCGAAAAAATCAATTATAAGTGGCGACTCTGAACAATAAAATAATCCATATTCAAATTTTGTCACTTTAATTGGAAAAACTCTTTGGCCCATACACATTATTATTATTTTGAGGGGTAGAAAAGGGGTGTGACATTAATCATCAAAACCCCAATTCTTAACAGATCTAAACTATCAAATTCACTTGTAGAGGTGCACCCAATAGTAATTGTAACATAATAGTTTGATCATAGTTTCACGCACATATATTTAAGTAATTTTGAAGAAATATAACATTATTATACATGATTTTGGGAGAGGAGTATGGTTTTATGTGAACCCATACAGTGACATACGTATGTTTTTTCATAAGCGGTGTCCCTATTGAAAGAGTGAACGAACGAGTAAATAAATAATAATATATATATCATATTATAAAAAGACAACTTAAATAATATTAATAAAACACTATTCAAGTACATTACTATAATTCTCCTCGACGAGTTTTCGTGTTTTGAAATGTATCCATAATAGCCTCCTTAGAAATATTACTAAATACATCCTTTTTTATATAAGGAACCAAACAACCACTCAAAAGCTCATCATCCATTCGATTTCGTAAGTCAATCTTAATCAACTTCATTACTGAGAAAGCTCTTTCATCCATAGCTGTAGCAACTGGCAAAAGTAAAGCAAATTTTACTAGTCGGAGCACTAGAGGATAAGTCTCATGAGCTATTTTAAATGCATCGGCAACATGATCACATCTTTTAATATACCATCTAAGAAGTTCAATATAGTTACCTCTATTAAAAGATTATTCATTTTCACGATGCCACCGAAATGATAATCCTTGGTGCAAAAAATATCTTATCACATCAGTCGCAACCTCTGGACGAGTCATATATTCTAACTTTTGTTGATCAAATTGTTTCGCAAGTACACTTTGAATAGATTGTTTTTGTCTCATCAAATTATCACCTTTCATTCTTGACTGATTATGAATACTATTTGGTCTACCAATATACGTACAAATCTATCCTTCTTGGTCCAACTTGTAAATCCTATACTTGAAAATATATATCCTCCCCCTTGATCGATGCATTCATTTTGAAATAAATAACAATACAAGCAAAAAATTGCATCTTTTATTATGCTATATTCCAACCAATCATACTCATCAAGCCATTAAGGATTAAAGCGACGCAATATACCATAAAGATTTCTTCGAGGAAATTTGTGCTCTCGAGGTCAGAAAGGACCTCTTTGAAGATGCTTTCTTCTTATTGCATCATGATCCAAAATCAGTGACGTCACCAAACAAAATTAATCATAGGGATAAAAGTGATTGTAATTAGGGGTGTGCATTCGATTATCGATTCGATTTTGACCTTTATCGATAATTACTTATCAATTATCGATTTGTACATATGCTTATCGTTATCGTTTCAATAAGGTTTCGATTTTTTCGATTTCGATTTATTGATTTTTGGAGCTTATCGATTCGGTTATCGATTACACCAATAAAAAAATTTACGGGATTCCACGGAAAGTATATCGCTACAAACACACCTAACTAATATGGACAAAAGGAAGCTAAAATAAGAAGAGCACCGTTTATAACATAAAAATTGTGTCAATAAGCACATGCAACGAAACTAAAGTAAGGGATCAAATATATGCCACCAACACTCCAACGGTATAAACAAACAAAAAATCAAAATACATCATCACGGCTAATTCTGTTTTCCATTAATTTGAACTTCATTCCCTTGAGCTTTGAATATGATCATTCCTTAAATGTGGTAGAGGAAATAATAGGGTTAGGGACTTAGGGTAAAGGAAAGGGTATTATAGAATAAGGGTAAAAAAATTAAAAAAAATTAAAAAAAAAATTAAATTTTTTTACTGTAGCTTATCGGTTTATCGATAAATCGATAATCGAAGAGGACAAAATCGAAATCGAAATCGATAAATCGATAAGGAAAATTTTGAAATCGAAATCGATAAATCGATAAACCGATAACAAATAATCGATTCGATTTATCGATAAACCGATTCGAATGCACACCCCTAATTGTAATTAATAATCTCATCCGAAACTTAGGATTTAGGAATATGCTCTTGGAATGAAGAACTCAATTACTGGAAAAATGAAGAACTTGCCTATTGAAAGACGATTTATAGGGATAGAAATGGTTGTAATTAATATGTTTTCTTTTTTTTAATATACATGATGATAGGAATGCTCCTATTTTTCAGGCTTCGTGTTTCCAGCCTTGCAAATAGGTTGGTATTTTATAGATATAGAGTGTAAATGTTTTTGTACACATGGTATAATTTCAATTTTTGGGGTACATCAAGAAAGTGTGTATTATAAATGGGTATACCATGAAACTTTGCCATTAGTTTTAAAGTGCTTCCCATGCTTTAATTAGCAATAGCAGCTCACGTTTTTAGCAGCAACATGGGGTTTTAAATTAAGTGAGAGAGTCAAAAAGAATTTGTTGTGGATAAAGGAGTTGGAACCCATGACCTGTCACACAATTACTAGAATTAATAATCATCTAAGCTAGTAAGCTGCTGGTGTCACCTGTATTCTTTTTACCTGGTATTTTTTGTTTTACTTATTATTTGAATATATGTAGTAAAAAATTTCGACGAAGCGATATCCCGTAACACCACTTGAATCTATCTAAATCTGTCCCTAAACAGATATCCCTCAACTTGGATATGCCTTTGCACCACTACCATTGGAGGTGAAGACATTACGACTTAGCTTGTACCGCAAAAGATATATAACAATATGTCATATGTATCTGGTATTTATTAATACGACTAATTCAGATTTATCCAAATAAAAAAAAGTACTCCCCATATAAATTTCTTCATTCACGGAACTCGAATACTGACTCCTCTAATTAGAAATTTCTTGTGCATGAAATCTCTAAAGTAGCATAACACTTGAGGGGTTCTCTGGAGATGAGTCAAAATAGAGTTAGCTAAGTGCTTACGTTTGTCTTTCACGTCTTGGACAACCATGAATTAATTTAATTATCATTTGTCTTTTCAACTCAGACAATGTTTGGCACCAGGCTAGCTCAAATAAAATATAAGAAGAATTATAAAAGAAAATAGGAAAATAGGAACCTTCAACCAACAATAACAACCCAGTATAATCATACTTAGTGGGGTTTAGGGAGGATAGTGTGTACGCAGACCTTGGATATGCCTTTGCACCACTACCATTGGAGGTGGAGACATTACGACTTAGCTTGTACCGCAAAAGATATATAACAATATGTCATATGTATCTGGTATTTATTAGTACGACTAATTCAGATTTATCCAAATAAAAAAAAGTACTCCCTATATAAATTTCTTCATTCACGGAACTCGAATACGACTCCTCTAATTAGAAATTTCTTGTGCATGAAATCTCTAAAGTAGCATAACACTTGAGGGGTTCTCTGGAGATGAGTCAAAATAGAGTTAGCTAAGTGCTTACGTTTGTCTTTCACGTCTTGGACAACCATGAATTAATTTAATTATCATTTGTCTTTTCAACTCAGACAATGTTTGGCACCAGGCTAGCTCAAATAAAATATAAGAAGAATTATAAAAGAAAATAGGAAAATAGGAACCTTCGACTAACAACAACAACCCAGTATAATCCCACTTAGTGGGGTTTGGGGAGGATAGTGTGTACGCCCCCTACCTGGGGTAGAGAGACTGTTTCCAAATAGACCCCGACATTCTTCCATCCAAAAACTTTCCACCTTACTCTTGGGGAGACTCGAACTCACAATTAAAAAATTGAATTCTCAAAAAAGAAAAATTAAATCAATTACTTGATTGGTAAGACACTTCATTGATTTTTCCTTCTATAAAACAAGACCCCAATTCAAGGTAGAATCACCACTGAAAATTCCCTTAACATAGCAAATAATTGAGAATAACCAAAATTGTGACTTGTGAGATGGCAGAAGTGAAGTTGCTAGGATTTTGGTATAGTCCATTTACTCACAGAGTTGAGTGGGCTCTAAAGCTTAAGGGCGTGAAATATGAATATATAGAAGAAGACCGAGATAACAAGAGCTCTCTACTTCTTCAATCCAATCCTGTTCATAAAAAAGTCCCTGTTCTCATTCACAATGGAAAACCCATTGTTGAGTCTATGGTCATTCTTGAATACATTGATGAGACATTTGAAGGCCCTTCCATTTTGCCTAAAGACCCTTATGACCGAGCTTTAGCTCGTTTCTGGTCTAAGTTCCTTGGCGACAAGGTAAATACGTATCTGCATAATTTAGTAAACTTTTATTCGAGACTAAAGTAATTTTGAATGTTTAATTCCATATATGATGGTTTAGTCATGTCATTTGTCAATGTTCAGACTTGCGAAAGCAATCACTAACTTGCAGTAGGGCAGACTGTTTACATCACACCCACTTAAGGTGCGACTCTTACCCGGATGATCATGTGTGAATGCGAGATATTTAATATAGCGGGCTGCACTTTTTAAAATTGGGCCGAAATTCAAGTTGTGATGTTAGTATGTTTACTTAGGTCCTAATATTTTCTAGAAATCTTTTAATCATGTCATATTTATATGTCAATAGAAAATATAGAGCTTGACATGCTTTTCATAATTCTCAATAGCAATGGTGCGGATTTAAATGGAACGACATTGTTAATGAGAATTTACATATGTACGTTGTTGATTCTAACTTACTTGTGATGATTGAGACGTAGTGTTGTTGTTGTGATTAAGTTATGAGAGTTTGCAGGTGGCAGCAGTGGTGAATACTTTCTTTCGCAAAGGAGAGGAGCAAGAGAAAGGTAAAGAAGAAGTGTATGAGATGCTGAAAGTTCTTGACAATGAGCTCAAGGATAAGAAGTTCTTTGTGGGTGACAAATTTGGGTTTGCTGATATTGCTGCAAATTTGGTGGGATTTTGGCTAGGAGTTTTTGAAGAAGGCTATGGAGTTGTTTTGGTGACAAGTGAAAAATTTCCAAATTTTTCTAGGTGGAGAGATGAGTACATTAACTGCAGCCAAGTCAAGGAATCTCTACCTTCAAGAGATGAGTTGCTTGCTTTTTTCCGAGCTCGTTTTCAAGCTGTTGTTGCTTCTATTTCCGCTCCCAAATGAGCACATCCTCATTCATCTTATGACGTTTCGGATTATATGTCAGAATAAAATTACAAATCTACGACTGAGTTATGTAGATTCAATTATGCATGTATGCATAAGAAAAGAAATTAAAATATATGTTTATATAAGATTAAGCTCGTTTAGAATTAATGACTCTAGATTCTGCATTCTCTTCATGCTAATAAAACTACTTGTTAGAAAAGCTAGCTTAGCCCCAGGTACTCACATACAGGAAATTTCTCGATCTGTTTTAATTTGTTAGTTCGTCAGTGATCATACGATTATTAATCATATGAATTTTCTTATCGAATTGAAAAGAATGCAAGAAAAGCAAACTGCGTCTATAATTTAATGAAATAGTGGCTGACATAAGCACATAAGTCACTCATATGTACATGTAAGCATCGATCTAAAATGATATCACTTATATGTAGTACAAGTAAGTTGCATAAAAAAAATGGAGTTAATATTCTTTTCTTGCTTCACTTTATATATGGACAACATTAAACAAGACCAATATTTATTCAAAATCCCAAATAAGGTTTGCTAGATTGCAATAGATTTCAGAAGGTTTAAGACTCTCATAGACAAAGTGCAGGAATCTTCTAGTTAAGTGGGTGATTTTCGCGGATATGCTTTTCTTTTTCTCTGGCGAAATACATAAACAAATACTTAAAGTTGGTTTCACCTGTCAGTTAAACACTCCAACTTACCAAATGACCATATTAAAGACACATTATGTTGATTTATGTATGTCTCAAAAGTACACTTATTCGGAAGATATAATGCGTGAGACACAATCACTCTTGCGTGATTAAATGAACCTATCGCAATTTAAAACGTAGACTACACGTGGTTAAACAAAAAAAGATATAAATAAAAATAAAAAAGAATGAAAATTAAAACAAAAGAGGGGAAAGCTAATGGAGGCTCATTTCAGTAAATTTCTTTTTACTGAAAACACTAATTCCGAAATACATCTTCATCAATCTATTCAATATTGCGGGAAATACTTCAATATTGTTGATAAAGCTTAAATAACTAGAACGTTATCTAAAAAAAAACTAGAACGTTATCTATTATTTTCCTTTAATTTGGGTTCGTTCTTTTGTCTTAAGTCGTCCGTGTTGGAAGGATTTATCGATGTCAATTGGAGGGGGCTTGAAGAAAAACAACATGAGATATTATCTTAGAGGTATGTATATTTCTACCTTTTAGCGCTTTTTCATGATTTTGAAAATGAAAATTTTGATGTTCTTGGGAAAGCTTTGGTTTTTTAGTCGGCTAAATGGTAGGGAATATTGACTTTTGTTTCTTGTCTTTTTTCAGAGTTTGTTGATATGGGTGGCTTTATTTTTGCTGCTTTTCACCACGGGGTTGGTTTATTGAAAGTCAATATGTTAGGGAGTTGCAAAAGGCTCTATTTATAATAGATAAAGACCATCTGTTTCAGACCAATATGAAAAAGTATACTAAATATATTGGGTATGATAAAATTGAAGCCCTTTATGTCAAAGACCCTACCACTTTTCAACTTATCTTATTGGAAACTGATAGCCAACTATATGAAATTGTTAACGACTTGAGTAATGGTCCATTATTGATATGTATGTGAAACATGTAATGGTGAAAGATGAGGTCCTTGCCAGCAATGTTGTAGGTCCACTGATTGGTAATATAGACCTAGAAAAAAGTAATATAGAAAGTGCGATGCATTATAGGACAACATAGATTGAGGGTGCTAAAATTGAGACCTTAAATGAGGCAGTTGGGGTTGAGGGGGAGGTAGAACAATCTCTTAATAATGAAGATAATAGTGACAATGAAGACTTTGAAAAAGATAACTTGAAGAATATTCCTGCTGAGGATAACAATAAAGTTCATGAGGAATTAAAAGCTTTTAGAGAGGCTTCTAGGAAACAAAACTAAGTGAATGGAAGATCAAAAACATAAGAAATCTAATATCCTTTAAGACTGAAGCTTGGGCCAGCTAGGGTAGATAAGGGATTTGAGGATTTAGGGATGAATAAGAAAGATAGATTTTTTTTTTTGGAAAGTTGGGCAGTGATGAAGAATTCATTGGCTCATCAGAAGATGCTAGTGAAGACTGCGGTGTTCTTGCACAACCGAGTATTGATTTACCTTCCAAAAGAAGCAGAAAGTTATGGTATGATGAACAACCAAGTATGCTTTATTTGAATTAAGTATGATATTTGAAAATATAAATAATTTTAGACAAGTTATGGCTGACTATGCTATTCAGGAGAAGGTTCAATTAACTCTAAGACCCAATGAACCACATAGAGTAAGGGTCAAATGCAAAGAAAAGTTGTGTAAGTGAGAAATCTATGCTAGTGTTGATAAAGATTTAGGGGATTTTTCTGTGAAAAAGTATTATCTCGCCCATAAATGTAATATAAAGAACATGAACAAGTTATGCTCGGCTAAATATATTACTAGGAAGTTCAAAGACAGAATAATCTCTCAGCCTGACATTAGAGGAGCTGCAAGAAACAATAAGAAAAGAGTGGAATTTCTAGGTGGAAAGATTAGTCTATTAGAGGGGAAAATTAGTGTTATTAGTAAGTTCATGGGTGACTAGGCACTTGAGTTTTCAAAGCTATTGGACTATACCGATATCATTATGAGTACAAATCATGAGACTTCTTGTTGGGTCAGAACTGATAATGAGGCAGTCCCTAAAAATATTTTTTCGAGTATTTGTATGTTTTGATACATTGAAGAAGGGGTCATTAGAAAATTGTAGGAGGATCATATGGTTAGATGGTTGTTTTTTGAAGGAGGCTTGTAAGGGAGAACTGTTACTTGTATTGGAAAGAATGAGAACGAGCAAATGTATCCAATAGCATGTACAGTTATTAACCAAAAAACTAAATATTCTTGGAGTAGGTTCTTAATCCATCTCATTCAGGAGTTGAAACTTGGTGTAGAGATGGTTTAACTGTAATGTCAAACATATTTTGCCTATTAGTTTTTTATTATGTATCTACGCATTCTTGACCTGTTTCATTTTTAATTTTTACAAGGGTCTTGTTTAGCATTAATACATAAAATATACATACTTAAATGCTTACAAGTACTTCATTCAACCAATTCCCAATTTGAAGATGTAGCCTGAATCAAAGAACCCATCAGCAAATGCACCTAAAGTTTAAACTAATGCCTGGCAGACCAAAGGACAAAAATGAACCAAGAAAAAAGAAGTGCCGGAAAACAACAAAGTAAGGAGCCACAATGACATGTTCTAACTGCCACCAAGTTGGCCACAACAAAATGGGTACAAATCAGTGGCATGTACATGCTTTTCTTTATTTTCATTAATCTGATTATTATATCTCTTCTATCCCCTTTTTGCTATTTATAGACATGAGAAACCAAGAACAACAACTGAAGCAAGGCCAATCAGTCAATCTGCTACTCAACAATCTAGTACCACTACTGAATCAAGGGAAATGAGTCAACCTGCTTTTCAACAATTCAATGGACCATCCTTTTTGTGTCAAGATACTACAAGAGTTTGTGACACAAGTTCAATTACGAGAAGCAGAGGAAGGGGATTGGGAATAGGAGGTGGCAAATGAAGGGGAAGGGGAACTGCTCGATTGTAACGACTCGGCCGATTATTTTGAGAATTACCATCCATTCTGTAACGATCCGGCGGGTCATTTCGAGAGTGATATTCCCGTCCCCCCCCCCCATTTCCTTCTTCTTTCGTGTTCTTCAGTTGTATTTTGTCTTATCGACTTAGTTGGTTCGGCTTTGGAGTGGTTTTGGAGTAAATTGAGACATTTAGCCTCTTTTGTGAAGGTTTAAGTTGGAAAAGTTGACCGGATATTGACTTATATGTAAACGACCTCAGATTTAAATTTTGATAGTTCTGTTAGCCCCGTTAGGTGATTTTGGACATCGGAGTGCATCCTGAATATAATTTAGAGGTCCGTGGTAGAATTAGGCATGAATTGGCGAAAGTTGAAATTTTGGCGATTTTGGCCGGCAGTGGAAATTTTGATATCGGGGCCATAATGGAACTCTGGAAGTTGGCATTGGTTTGTGGTGTCATTTCTGACTTGTGTGCAATATCTGAGGTCATTCGGACTTGATTTGATAGGTTTTGGCGTCATTTGTGAAATTTGAAAGTTTAGAAGTTCTTAGGCTTGGATCTGAGGGTAATTTGGTGTTTTGATGTTGTTTTGAGTGATTCGAAGGCTCGACTAAGTTCGAATGATATTATGTGATGTGTTGGTAAATTTGGTTGAGGTCCCAATGGCCTCAGGTGAGTTTTGGGTAGTTAACGGACTTGGTTTTTGGTTGGCAACATGGCTGAATTGCTGATATTTGGTATCAACTGTTTCTAGTTTCCTTATACGCAATCGCAGGAGTCCATTCGCAATCGCGTAGGCTTATTTGGAGCAGAGGTAAGTTTTTTCTACGCAATCACAGAGATAAGATCACGATCGCATAGATGCGCGAAGCTGTGCATCGCGAACGCGTGGCTGAGGTCGCGCTCGCGTTACTGAGGTGAAGGAATTTGCTCTACACGATCGCGTAGAGGTAGGCGCGTTCGCGTAGTTTTGAGATATTGTGATCCGCGATCGCATGTGTATTTTCGCGGTCGCCTAAGGTTAAAATGTGGGGCAGCCTATTTGTGTTTCGCGATCGCGAGGCTATTTCCGCGATCGCGATGAAGTAGGGCTGTGCACGGATCGGATTGGATCGGATTTAGCCTATTTCGGATTCTTAAAAGTTCAATCCGAATCCGATCCGAATTAACATTGGATTGGATCGGATTTTAAACTTTGGATCGGATAATTTTTCGGATTATCGGATCGGATTGTCACAAAAATTTTCAACAATTTAAAGTTCATTCGGTGTCTCTATCTCATCTTCCATCTACCAAAACAAACAAAAAAATCAAAATAAAATCAAAAGTTGAAGAATAGAACATGAAATAGACATAAAAGACAGAAGAGAAGAGAAGAGAGGCGGAAGAAAGAGACATAAAATCAAAGTAAAATCGGAAGTTTGAGTCATTGAGACTCTTTTAGTCTTCACTAAAGAGAAGAGAGGTGCAAGAGAGGCGAAAAAATCTAAGTGAGTGAGGGGGTGTGTGAAAAATGAATAAGCATAACCCTAAAAT